TAACACATATACAAAAAGTGCAAAGCATGATAAACTCCCACAGTGCAAATAAACCCGTAACTGGCAGTGTCAACCATGAAAGGGAACATGATTGGGCCCTGGAAGGTGCTCTTCATGCCTCGTTCCAGACACCAGCGCCCGTCAGCCTAACTACCTACCACCTGACTTCAAAACACCAAAGACTGGCCTGGAATCATACAGTATTAGACTTTTTTGTGTCTACTCAACATTATGCTTGATTAATAGTCTACTTTTAACTTCAGTAGTTGTTTAAAAATATGTACATTCCATTCTCATTAAACCAGATTCCCAGGTTTTATTTTGTTTAGTTTGGATTTTTTACAGCTTAAATTCCACTTGCATCAAAGGAAATTAACACCTCAATGTTCAATGTATACTCAGTTCCAGTTTCTAGGTCTTTTTTTCAGATCAAGTCCCCAATTCCTAATAAAGGGGGAAATTCTGCAAGTAAAAGGAGGAAATGTTTTATTTCACCTAAGATTTCATAAACCACAAACTTAAAATTCTTTGTCTACTATATATAAAATTTATCTTCATGAAAAATAACAAACTTTTTCATAAAGGTAGAAGGAACACAGATGTAACAAACTTGAAATTCCTGAATCTTGATTCCCCCACCCCTCTCATGTATGATGAAGATTTCTGTTATTCTAGGAAATATATCTAGGGTAAATGGGAAAGTCAAAAAGAAGTAGCAGTGGATATGACAAAACATAAGAAATACAGAACCAACTTAAAAGGCATTTTTTTAAAGAACATGTTTCCTTATCAAAATAGCAAGCAAACTGATATGCCATAATGAAAAGGTATCTCTCAATAATTTGAATTTAATTTTTTTTACTGTTTTACCTGATGAGGAATAAAAAAAATCATAGTATCTAACTGAAAATAATGAATACACTATTAGTAAGAATGTAAATGGGTACAGCTACTCACTACGGAAAATGGTTTCGAGGTTCCTCAAAAAAACTAAAAACAGAACCACCATACAATCCAGCAATTCCACTTCTGGGTATTTAGCTGAAGGAATGACTATCTAGAAGACATATCCACACCCTTATGTTCACTGCAGCATTATTCACAACCTAAGATGAATAGATACAGAAAACATGGTATATAGATACGTATTATCTGGCCATAAAAAGGGGTGGGGGAGAGGGGGATCCTGACAACTGGATGAACCCTGAAGGCATCACGCTAAGTCAAACAGACAAAAAAAGACAAATACTGCATGGTGTCACTTATATGACACCTAACTCACTGAAACAGAGAACAGATTCGTGGTTGCCACAGGGAGGGGGTGGGTGGTGGTGGGGGGAATGGAGGGCATGGGTGGAGGTGGTCAAAGGATACAAACCTCCAGTTATACGATGAAAAAGTTCTGGGGATATTAAATACAGCACGGTGACTACAGCTAACAATACTGCATTGTATGTCTGAAAGTTGTTAAGAGAGTAAATTTTAAAAGTTCTCACCACACACACACACACTAGTACCTATGGGTGGTGATGGATGTGTTAACTAGCCTTATTTATTGTGGTAATCATTTTGCAATATATACATATTTAAAATTACTACATTGTACATCTTGAACAACATTAGATGTCAATTATATCTCAGTAAAGCTGGGGGGGGGGCGGAGAGGGAGAAAATAATGGAAAGAAATTAATATGCCACCCACAGCAAACTTTAGAAATCAATATCCTATGCTAAAGAAGCCCATAAGGGAAATCTGGCTGCACACAGCTGTGTAATAAATCAATTTGTTACCGTGACAGTCATCTCAAAAGTAGAGTAAGGTTGATAGACAACAAAGAAGTTAGATTAGACATGGGGGCATATATAATAGAGCCCCACAAGGTTTTTGTTTTGATTTTTATAACAAGTCTGTTAAATCATTCATTGGCAAATAAATGATTCAAGACAGACTTCCATATTCTAACTTATTCCATTATTCATCCATCCATTCCATTATTCTAATTTTGACATCATTAATCAGCCAATAAATGTTTGAAAAGTTTTCAGAAATTTATTCAACAAATATTTAAAAATACACACTACATGTACATTACTGTCATAAGTGCCAGGAATTCAATGATAAGCAAAAAACAGACTTTCTGCCTTTATGGAGGAGAGAGACAGATATCAATCCTGAAATAAGAGAAATTAAAAGAAAATTATTAGTTTTAATTTCTACAAGAAAAGATACATAATGCTATGACAGTTTATTAAGGAAATCTGTGTAACCTGGGAGAGGAAAGGCAGTAGCACTGAAAGGGGAGGACTGAAAAAAGGACAGGAATTAAGTAAGTGTGTGTGTATATGGGGGAGGGGTCCACTAGCCTGAGGCAACAGCAAGTTGCAAGTGCAAATGGCCTGAGGCAGGAAGTAACAGGGGCAATAAATAACTTCCAAGTCCATCATGCTGAGTTCCTGAGGACAATATAAAAAATAACTCCAGAGATGAGGAGCAGGGGCAAAAAAGAGCTAGTTGTAACCATGCACCAGAGTAAACTTTAGCTAGTGACAAATTGTAAATAATATCCATTTTCTCAATAAAATCTCATTCTTCTCAGACCAAATAATCTGAAGAACACTGAGAGGTCAAGGTCAGTCCCCTTACCAAAGAGTCACACATCCACTGGACCTGGCAATGTGCAAACCCCAGGCCGCAACACTGTCACCCACCCGAGCACAAGGGGCACCTCACACAAAGCGGTTATGCTCTGAGTGTCACAGAAAACTTTCACATCACTTTTGGTTTTCATAGATTCTTTATAACATATTTAGCTTCAGGAGAGAGCATATCTTCTTCATATTTCACAAAGGTCCTCAGATTTATGAAACAATGCCTGCCTTCATAAATTACTCAGTTCAACTCCACACTTTTAAGAACTCACTGTAAGTAAGCCCCGAGTGACACCCCTTCACATACTCTTCCACACATCAAACAGGAAGGACTTCTACTATCCACTAGAAGGTGCAAGATCAATGTGCAATGGCTCCCAAACCCGTTTCCTCAAAACTGATTTCTCTTAGGGAGATAACCAGCAGAAACAGGACGCCACAATCCCATAAATGGGGAGAAAAGCAGATTTGGTGGTTTTGTTTTGTTTTGTTTTGTTTTAACGTTATAAAGGTTACCTGAAGTGCAGGACTTCTCAGGGTCATTAACTACGAATCTCTTATGACAGGGACAGTATGTACAGCACTTCCCACACGTGTTTGACTACAAATATTTGAGGAAAGTATCGCCACTGACACAGGAATAACATTCCCTTGAGAAAGGTGGGCATTCGGTACTGCACAAGGCAATAGGCCTTTTGACAATGATCCAGACGATCACATTACCAAACTGAATTGTTATGTATCATGAGAAAAGGATAACAAGATCTTTCCTTATTTTTAAGTTATGATACTATATAATCTCTATCTAAAGAAGTTAACACATTCTGTTCCTTTCCCACGATTCAGAATTGAATAGGTCAATAGCATGTAATGTGTGGTAACTCTGTAATGAGACATTCTTCAGTGGCTCAGATACCCTTACTGTCCAATACTTAAGTCTTTTAAATCTTAGACACTGACGGTACTGTGACCCACACATTACTAGAGCTCTACCGCAGAGCTCTAACTTGCCTAAAACCTAACGCTATACTTTTATGTCATGTATCTCCTTAGTTAATCATCAATAAATTGTAGCTGTGACTACAAGTTTATCTATATAAGTCCTAATACTGTTTATCTTTTGAAATTCAAAACAAATTCCTATACACGGGGGAAAAAAAAGTCTGGTACTTTACACAAAGTTCAGAAAAGTTACAGTACTCCTCAGTAAAACAACTGTACCAGGTTAATGACATAATGTAATTTCTCTAACCTCCCTTTCCTAGAAGAACACCAAACTGGGAGGCTTTTAATCTCTTAATTACACCTCATGAAATTCATGTCACTTCTCAGCATTATAAGTAATTCAAACAAAACGATTTTAGCTAGTTTTACTGACTTCTTTAAGAAAAATACCTTAACACGCACAACACATGACATGAAAAAGAAAAGTTCTGTGGGGTGCCTGGGTGGCTCAGTTGGTTGAGCCTCTGACTTGTGATTTCAGTTGGGGTCATGATCTCACGGGTCGTGGGATACAGCCCCAACTCCGGCTCAGTGGGGAGTCTGCTTGGGATTCTCTCTCTCCCTCTCTCTGCCCCTCCCCCCCACTAGTGCGCATACACTCTCTCTCTCCCTCTCCCTCAAATAAATAAATCTTTAAAAGGGGGGGGCAGTTTTGCGGGTGCCCAGTAGGTTCTCAATCACTGGCTTCCCTGCATCTCATCTGAAGGCTGGGTCTGTCTCTCTCTGAACAATGCTATAAACTTCAATACACTGAGTAAACTATAGCACATTTTCTGGAAAACAAAGCAAGTTAGTTGTCTTCAGCAACTTCTATTTATCACTGGTTAGAGATTCTGAAGCTCAACTCATTGGGAAAGGAGGTTATCAGGAGAAATAAACTTTGGTCTAAAGGCCTTTAAAGATACTTCCTCAGCTTCTGCTCACTCTGCAGCTAATGTGAAACATCCTGCTTCTAAGAACCTTTACGAAGGTTTACTTATCCTACTATGTATTCCATTCTGCAGGGTCACCACTGCCTAATTGTGTTGAAGATAAAAAGCAAGGAGGAAATAAAAAAATGAAATCTACTGAGGAGATGGTGAAGCAAGAGAAGCGGCACAAGGACACAAGGACACAAGGAAAGAAACTGACACACGAACAAGGACAGAAGACCAAGCTGAGACAGACACAAACAAGAAGCCAGTGAATCCACCTGCCCCGAAGTGGGTCAATGTGTTTCCTACCTTGAATTTTCTTCTACCCCAAACTACCGTATCTCCTTTTCTGGGTCCCCTGCCTTCCCTAACGTGTAAAGAGGCCTGTAAACGCTGACGTCATTTCTCCACCACAAACACTGTGCTCCTTACCTCCTGGTCTGTAGACAACATCATCCTCAGTGACGTAAGAGGTTATCTCGCCAGTGTCTGTCCTTTCATAACGAGATTTTTTTTTCGGTGGTTTCTTTTTGTTCTTCTTCGTGGACTCCTCTGTGGTGGCACTATTGTTGTCATTATCCTCATCTTCGCTGTGGTCACTCTCGGCATAATTTTTGGCTCCTCCTTCCAAGGTGCAGCTCCTACGCGGTCTTGAATTCTCACCCTCTCTTGCTCTGTCTCGTTTCTCTCTCTCTCGGTCCCGATCTCGGTCCCGGTCCTTCTCTTTGTCCTTGTCTTTGTCTTTGTCCGCTGTCATGATTCGCCACGTGCCTTCTTCTGTCCTCTCACGGCTAGGCCTCCGTGAAAGGTAGACAGTAAGCCTGGGCTTCAGTCTTCTGAATTTCTCACTCAATTCCAGGGAAAATCCAACCACTCCAACTACCCCAACGTTTCAAAAACGCTAGGCAAGAAAAGAGAGAGAGAGAAATTGATTTTACTTTAACATTTCCTTCCTAAAAAAATGTTTTGTTAAATGAATATCTTACTTACTCATGTTTTAGCCCCAAAAACCTGCCAAACCATTGGAAAAAAGTTAGGACAAGTGATACAAAAAGTTTAAGTATATAAAGCTTTTGGCCTCAGCTAGCATATGGTTTGGGATTTAATACCACATCAATAATGAAAACATCTCAATGCAAAATAGTAAACCATACTTTCTGTACATCACTTATTTTCTTTTTTTGAAGGAAAAAGTAAAGTGTACCCTAATAGACAACATAAAAGGAGCTTCATAACCCACAACTTCAATTTACAAGGGCAAGAAACTATATACTAAAACTATTTCCACCTGGGGGGAAAAAAATAATTTGGATAGCCTGGAAAAATGTCTCAAGATGTCTCTCACAGGGAACTATCTTCTTAGACTCTTTCTAGCCACATCTCCAAATTTCCAGAGCTCCTCTCAAGAATAAACACAGGCATTAACTCAAATAAAAGTGATGACCCTCAAAGCAAGATTCTTTTGCCTTCAATCACAATTTTTCCCATCTTCTAAGTCTACTACTCTAGTTATTTTCCAGGAAAAATGGTATCTCTGAATTATCTCTGCCTTAGCAAAATCAAACAGCTTCCAAAAACAACCTTCCATCTTTAGGGAATAGTAGGTGGTCTTTACATTCTTTCAAATTTCCACTATAAATAATTTCCCTAGTAAACTCCTCTCTAGAACTAAGCCCAACAAGGAAAGACTGAAGTTTTTAAGACTTTACAATGAGAAGAGAGAATCTCCAATTCCAATCCAACACAATTCTTATAAAAAATTTTATAGTGCGGTGGGAGGACGATGACAGACAGACATGGACTGTTTTGTTTACAAGTCAGTTTTGGGACAGTCATAATTAACAGTAATTTATCTTTTGCCGTCCTGTATCATGTTCCTCAACATCTTCTCTCATTTGTTCAACGATCTATACTAAACACTATCTAGGTGCCAGGTCTTCGGAACTGAAGATACAATGAGGGAAAAGCTCAAGAGTCCTTGCCCTCAATGCTCTAATGCAAAAAAAAAAAAAAAAAAAAAAAGGCAAACAACTGATCAATATGAGAACCATCTGTTTCTTATTTTACTAGGGCCAGACAGAAAACGACATATGCAAATAAAGGAAAGATTGATCCTCTTTACTTAGACAACAACAAACAAATAACTTGCAATTACATGTCTTAAACAAAGAGAAAATTCCATTTGGTCACGCCAAAACCATAAAAATTATCACATACTCACTCCAAAGCTCTTAGGTCAAATCTGGCACCAGAAAAGACCTCTCCACAAGCACCTCAAATATCCTTACTTGTTCAAGAAAATATAAATAATCACAACCACCTTTGGAAGACAGACCTATGAAGGAGCAATGCTGACAATTTAAAACAAAGTCCGAAGGGAGAAAGCATGTAGTACAGGCATGTACTACAGACATTTCCTTCTACATAGGAAATATGCTTCTAGATAGGATTTCAATTTTCTAAACATATTTCAAGAAAATGAAAAATTATCCCAGTGCCTGCAAAAGTTCTGCCTAGATGAATCATCTGCTAACCAGACAGTAATATACTCCCAAGTCCCTGAAGGCCACTAGTGTTAGCAATTGAAAATACACAAAGAGACATATTACTTTCTCCACTGGGCTTAAGTTTAAAGCATGAACAAGCCAATCATGCAAGAAAGAAAACTATCAGCTAACACCGTTGTTAAAACATTCCTCTTTGACACTGAAAACATAGCAAGGTCTACTGGGAATCTAAAAAGAACAAGCAGCTTAGGCTGAAAACCTCTCAGATACAGCTGAAGGACAGACAACTTACAAATTTAGGAAAAAGATCATTCTCTCCAGGGTTAACAAGATAACCAGAAAATTATGTAAAAATATTATTTCAGCACTCAAAAAGGAAAGAAATATTAAGTCCAAATTGTACATTCAACACTACTCCTTACAAAATCATATACTAGCTTCTTTTTACAAAGAAATTTGAGTTATTTCTGCAAGAAAGAAAAATTCAAGAAACAACAGAGGGCATCCACAAAATAAAATCCCGTGTGTGTATCCAACTTTCAGTTAACTAAAACAGTGATAATCCAAAGCAAAAGTCAACCAATTATCATTTACATTTGGCTCTAATATAAAGTGCAACAGGGACGTGTGTTCTTTTCCTCTGCATTTACCATACTAATCAGAATTTTTCTGAGCCTCATTATACAATGACCAACACACAATAATAATGTGACATTTGAGGAAAGGGACACAGAGAGAAACCAGATGGCAATGACAAGGGTAGTTGTCACTTCAATTTGCCAGAAATGATCTACCAATACAACAACATCATTTTCGTTAACAATAAGGGGTTTACAAAGCAGGTTCCTGCCATGATCTCGTTCAATTCTTTCTCTCAACAACTCAATCAAGTGAACCAGACAGAAGTCACCGTCCCCAGTTTATAGACTACAGAAGGGAAACCGTGAAGAAACCATGTGCACGAAACCATACAGCCAATTATTCTGCCAAAGTAAATCCCATCTGACCTGACTGCAACCTACTACTCAGGTCATAATCTGTGCCCCCAAGGTCACCAGCTCTTCATAGGTGCTAACTTTTCCTGCACGCATCCAGGCTGATAATTTGCAAAGACAGATTTAGGAAACACACTCACTTTGCCCTTCCCTTCCCCAAAAGAAATTTTTGTCCAGTTACAAAGACAAAAATATTGAGGGTATTTCTGTTGATTCACTGCTCAACCCAGTTAAACAAAAACCAGTATAAGATACTTTATTTTTTTAAGATTTTATTTATTTGAGAGAGAACGAGAGCGAGCACACACGTGCACACACACAAGTGTGAGGGGGGTGGGGGGTGGGAAGGGCAGAGAGAGAGGGAGAGAGAATCCCAAGCAGACTCCCCACTGAGCTCAGAGCCCCATGCGGGGCTCGATCCCACGACCCTGAGGATCATGAGTTAGACGCCGAAATCAAGAGTTGGACACTTAAATGACTGAGCCACCCAGGCACCCCTATAAGATACTTTAATAAGAAAAAAAAAAAGAAAGAAAGAAAATCTAATCTAGAACACGTTCAGATTCACGACAGTCTTCATCTATTCACTGAACAAATGTCTACCAAATGCCTACTGTGTACTAGTTACTGCTCTAGGTGTAAGGAAAGCAGCAGAAAACCGCACACAAACTTCTCTGCTCTTGTGGAGTTGATGTTCCAGAGAGTGGAAAAAGACCATAATCAAAAGAATGATATGTATATAGTACATGAAAAGATCTTAAATGGGGAATCCAATGGGGCGGGACACAGAGTGTGGGAGAATTGTAATCTTAAATGATGGTGAAGGAAAGCCTCAGGCTTTGCCCCAAGCAAGAGTGTTAGAGAAAAAGCCATGAGGGCACATGAAGGGAGATCATTCCAGCAGAGGGAGAGGAGGTACAAATGTCCAGAGGCAGAAATGAGCTGAGCACACTCAAGACACAGGAGGCCGGCCAGTGGGGCTGCAGTGGCATGAAGAAGAGGGAAAGTGGTGGGAGATGAGTTCAGAGAGGTGAAGGGGGCGGGGGGGCTGGATCCTGCCCTTGTATGCCAGTGTAAGGACTCTGGAGCCTTTATTCAAGTGCCACGAAGTGACATGAAGTGACTCAAATGACATTTCAGCCACTGCAGGGATCTGAGTAACAAAGAAAGACATGATCTGACTTGTGTTTAAGATCACTCTGGTCATTGAGAAAAAACCTAAAGGGATGCAGGGGTTGCAGCATGAAGACCGGTGAGGGAGGAGGCTTACTACAACAAGCCAGGTAAGAGGCGAAGGTAGTTGGGATGGACCAGCATGGCAGGGGCAGAGAAAGGGAGAAGTCTTATTTTCTATGTATTTTTAAGATAAGTCTCAAACTGGATATGCTGACAAACTGGGAGATAAGGTGTGAGGGAAGAAGTCAGGAACAACTCCAAGGGTTCTAGCATGAGCAGCTGGATGATGAAGTGGACATTATATGAGTTTTGGAAGAAAGATTAAGAGCTCAGGTACGAACATGCTAAGTTTGAGAAGCCTTTTAAAAACCACATTAAGAAAAAAAAAAACACATTAAGAGGGGTGTCTGGGTGGCTCAGTCGGTTAAGCGACTACCTTCAGCTCAGCTCATGATCTCAGGGTCCTGGGATTGAGCCCCGCATCCGGCTCCCTGCTCAGTGGGAGGCCTGCTTCTCTCTCTCCTACTCCCCCTGTTTGTGTTCCCTCTCTCGCTGTCTCGCTGTCAAATAAATAAATAAAATCTTAAAAAAAGAAAAAAACATATACATAAAGATTTTCAGTGGACAGAGGTCCAGGCTGGAGATAAAAATTTACTTTTTAGTTTTTAAAGACATGAATTGAATGAAATCACCAAGGAAGTGAATGTGCATAGCTTTTCTGATAAAATTTTTTAAACCCACAAAAACCTTTATTACTCATGCTTGAGTGGAGAGGATATTCAAAACAGACCTACAACTTATACATTTCCAAAAGTAGCACCCCTAGGACTCATAAAAAAACATATATTCCTCTCACTAGTTTCCACATTTATCAGGTTGCACTTCATCATTTTATCTTAACTGGTAAAATCTGGTCAGCTAGCCTCGCTGTGTTCTCATCTAATCAGAGTCAAAGGCCTTCAAGAGTCAGTGATACAGAACTACTCTTTATTAACTTCAGCTACTTCACCCTCCACATAAACCTCGTTTGCCTCTTCAAAGTGAAGCCAACAACCACCCACAAACCCCTCAACAACACTACTTATCAGAACCGATTCAGACAAAGTGCTAAAATTTCTGTCATGCTCCAGGCCCAAACCTCACTTTAAGAAAACCACTTCCTGACACTATTTAAGCAGTCCCAGGAGGTCAGACCCATGTCAGAACTGGACTCAAAAGCCAAGAC